TGATTGGGCGACTGCCTTTGGCTCGGGTCATGATCCTGGAGTCCCGGGATCGAGTCTCGCATCGGGCTTCCTGCTCAGCGGGGGGTCTGCTTCTCCCTCTGACCCTCCCCCCTCTCATGTGTTCTCTCTCATTCTCTCTCTCTCTCAAATAAATAAATAAAATCTTTTAAAAAAACAGAGATGGGAACAAGAGTAATAAATGTATCTTTTATAGGGGTGTGTGTGTGTGTGTGTATACATGCCCCTGTCTTTTGTTGAAAGGTGAAAACTGGAATATGGATGATCTGATTTTGTTTTAGCTTTGAATAAATACAATATGTGGTTCATATGGGGTTGAATTTACACAAATTAACATTTGTGTTTTGACACGATACTTCAAATATTACAGATAAAAATAGAAAAAAATATTAACTTTGCATATACCCTTTCGTAGATATTAAAAAACCCACTGTTTTTTTTTAATTTTGATTAAGATATAAATAAGTAAAATTGTTTATTTGCTGATCAAAATGGATGTGATTCACCTTGCTTAAATGAGAAATACCTCCTTTTTTGCCATTAGATTGCAGAGTATTAACCACAGGAAATAAGTAAAAAATCATTTATAATTTTTTAAAAATTTGATTCCTCGTTTTTCCAAATATAAGCATTTTTTTCTTGATTTTTTAAATTTAGTGACTCAGAAACCTACTTGTGATGGGTAACTGCTTCTGTGCTTGCCCCTAGCAGCTGAACCATACAGACAGATTGCATTTTATTTTCACTCAGTGTCATTTGGGGCTGAAGTCTCTCATGCCTTGGCCTCACACTTTTATACTATACAAATCTGATTAATTAGATTTCTAGTTCTGTGTTTTCCCTCATGAATATTGCAACAATTCCAGCAAAGGCTGAGTTTCAACTCTTTGCACTTGCACCAAATGGATCTTTAGGAAGATAAAATGATTTTATAGTATCATTCATTGCTGTTCTGAGTCTATACCATCTTCCTCCAGTCAGATGAGACTTCTAATGAAACTCAAAGAGACCTTCTACTTAATTACTTTATCTGTTAATTATTATCTATTCTGTTTAATTTATTACATTAATAAGTTTCCTGTTAATTATTGCTTACCCTTATTTTTATCCTGTTTCTTTTATTTCTGAAACAAACTCCTTCACCTTCCCACTTAGAAACAGAACACTTCTTCAATGGTTATATTAAATACATTTTTTTTCATTAAGTACGTGTGATTCCATTCCTCCAACCACATCATCTAACCGGATTTCAATTATTTTATGACTATCATATCCACTGTGCATAGCACACTTTTCCTTGCATTATCTTTACTTTATTCAGCTATGTGTCTACATTGTTGTTTCTTTAGTAATAATAGCCGCATTAAGCTTATTTCTGTATATCCTACAGCCCTAGCACCAGCTCTGGTACAAGTAATGTCTAATTGAATCTTTGTTCTGAAGTATTTTAGGTGGATAGGCTCATGGGTGATAAACAAATAGTTGAAATACAGAGATTTTACAAACTGTTTCAACTAATATAGATCATATATTACATGTGTGCATGGAAGAGGGTTTAAGAAAAACCAAGGTTCTATTTGTTTCTTAAAAATTTTGTTTGCTTTTATTTATTCCAATTTTTACAAAGTTGAGAAGTATTGGAGTGTAATTCTGTGTCCTCTCCAGATCCCTTCCAACGGTTGTGATGCAATGCTCAATGATCCCTGAACCTTTTCCTGTCCTCTTGGTCCCCGTCACTATTGATGACCATCAGCAATAACCAGAGCTAATCAGTCCTTCACAATGACCTGACTGGTATAAACTTTCATCTACCTTTCCTTTCTGTAATGTGAAATTCAACTCTCTTTTCAATCAGTGCGTTTTGTTCTGTGTGTGCTTGCAAAGAATAAGAAAAATTCATTCATACATACTTATGTATTTAATTTGAATATATGAAAAGCTAATAACAAAATAATGGGAAAATGAGAATTTTCAAGATTCCACTACTGACTGATGGTAGTTGTGTCTAATTAAAGATGGTTTCAAGTTCTCTGACATTTCTCCCATGGACACATGGTGTCTTCCCCCACTCCCCCATTAAGTTGGGTTAGCCTTTGACTGCTTTGATGAATACAGTATGGAAAAGATAATTATCTTTCTGGAACTAGTTTTCAAGAGGCATATACTTTTTTACTAATACATTATTTTAACAAAGTTAATAATAATCAAAACTAGAAACAAAGAGATAATCATGAATAGGGGAACAAATTAATGGATTAAGATAGTTCCATGATATGGATCATTATAAATCATTAAAAGGCATATATTGGAGTCCTTTATATTGGTGCAGAAGGATTTGCAAAAGACTAAAGTTAATTGGGAAATTTAACATGCAATGAATCATATATACACTATTTTCTGAAAAGCAAGTGATGACCATATGTTTACTAATGAATGAGCATAGTGAAAAATAAGAAACTATAAAGAACGAGCTGTTAGCATAGGTCATGGGATTTTTGAAGTGTACATTAGGAAAAAAAGATGTAGCATACTGGAGATGAATGTGTGAAATAAAGTAATGAAGGGAAAGATTATCCACTAAGAAAGTAAAATTCAAAAGTCTGTAAGATTATCTCATTTTAAAAAATTACATGTTTGTGTATGTGTGTGTGCATTGCGTCTGTGTGTGTGTGTGTTTTCATTTATGTATTTCCATGAGGCTCTTATTTCCTAGTTTTACTGAGATACTGACATGTAAGATTGTACAGGTTTCTCCCACTTTTTGAAAGTTTGTGTCATACCACTTCGTTTTTACAAAGACTACATTTGTACCTGTTTTTGCTAACTTGCCTGATGTGTGGAAGTCACTCAGCTATTTTCTTGATCTCTTTCAGAAGGAATTGTAGCTAGTTGTTTGGTGTGTCTGTGGGAAGCGAGGTGTTGGAGCCTCCTATGTTTCCCTATTTAAAGACTTCCCCTTAGTGCAATTGCTGGGTCATAGGGTAGCTCTATTTTTAAATTTTTGAGGAACCTCCAAACTTTTACATCAACATGGATGGGACTGGAGGAGATTATGCTAAGTGAAATAAGTCAAGCAGAGAAAGTCAATTATCATATGGTTTCACTTATTTGTGGAACATAAGGAATAACATGGAGGACATTAAGAAAAGGAAGGGGAAAATGGGGGGAGGGAATTGGAGGGAGAGATGAACCATGAGAGACTATGGACCTGAGAAACAAACAGGGTTTTAGAGGGGAGGGGGTTGGGGGGATGGGTTAGCCTGGTGATGGGTCTTAAAGAGGGCACGTACTGCATGGAGCACTGGTGTTATACGAAAACAATGGATCGTGGATCACTACATCAAAAACTAATGATGTATTGTATGGTGACTAACACAATATAATAAAATTAAAAAACAACAACAAAAAAAACAAGATAAAAAGGAGAGACAACAGGCCCAAAATGGAATCACTTATGCTAAGCCCACATCATCAAATAAAGACTTAATACCTAACCTAAAAAATAAAAAAATAAAAAATAAAAAATAAAGACTTCCCCTTGGCCCTGATACTACTGCCTTTGGAAATAGCTATTTGCCATCAGTCCCTGGGGATAGGTGAGAAGGATGTGATGTAGAGTGACTAAGAAGGGAAGGGAATGATGAGGATTGAAGTAGACAGGTGAGAATACATAAAACCTTTTGATATGGTGTCCTCTATTTATGTAAAATACCTATATAGTCATTACAGGCCATCTGCCCCGGCTTCTATTTGAGTCACGATTCCTTAAAAAAAGATTTTTCCATAATGTTATTCAATTTCACAAATTCAGAGAGAGGAGGCCCACAACTAATTGAATCAGTCAATTCTACTTTCGTAATTCTATTTATAGGGCTTAAAATGTCCTATCCTTCAGTTTAAAACCACTAGAGCTGATAAAACAACTAATACATAGATCAATCAGTTTTTAGATGCTGTAATATATAGTCGTCATAAGGCAGAGAGATAAGTTAGTCGTATTATAGGTTTACACACTCTTAATTGGTAGTAGTCCACTGAAACCCCATACTTTTTGGACAATGCATTTCAAACAGTGTTTTCTACTTAGCTGCTACTGATAAGTAATAAATCCAAAAGAGTATGTGTTAATTGGAAAAAGATCATACAGGTGGAAACCCTTACAGCCTTTTATAAAAAAATAATAATAATAAAATTCTCCATAGGCTTTTTTCCAGCATGATACTTTGTGAAAAGTCAGAACATCCAACAAGTGCTCCTTTGAAAACCAGAGGATCTTCTTAGGCTTTACTTCCATTCTGAAATGTTTTCACACAAAGGCATTTTGCAATAGCAGCTAGAAAATCTAAGACATTCATTGGCTTTTTTTAAAAATTATTATTATGTTATGTTAATCACCATACATTACACCATTAGTTTTTGAAATAGTGTTCCATGATTCATTGTTTGCGTATAACACCCAGTGCTCCATGCAGAACGTGCCCTCTTTAATACCCATCACCAGGCTAACCCATCCTCCCATCCTCCTCCCCTCTGGAACCCTCAGTTTGTTTCTCAGAGTCCATTGGCTTTTAACTTCTTTTTTTGTGTGTGTGTGTGTATGAAAGATTTATATTTAATCAAAGGCACAAACCAAAACTAAGACTATTATAGTTGACCATGATACTGACAAGTCACATCAACCTGATAAAGAAATAGCAGCTAACGCTAATGAAGATGAATTGCTTTCAATTCCTAAGGAAAATACAGTAATTCCGACACCATTAAGTAATAATTAGAACCTTTCAAATATAAATTTGAGAGCAAAACAGAGAGTAATGAAAATATCTTAACTTGATGAAAATTATACAATAATTTTAACTCATCTGGGAAGAGGCCAGTTCGGAAGGGTCAATTTTCTATCACATTACATCAGTCAGCAAATTCAGAGCGGTCACTTTGTAACACTACATCAAAATAGCAGATTCACAATGCGATTTTGAAAAATAAAAGTCAAGAGGAACACGGTATTGCATCATTTGCAATTTACTAGCTCTTCCAGTGTTTCACAGTGATACAGGGGTTTCAATGATCTAACATCAATGGGACAAAAGGTGGACTTAAACTGAACACGTCTTGATTGAATCAGACTACTTATATAAGTTTTTGGTCTATTGTAAGCAGTAGTAGCTAGTCTTCCATCCAGGCAATTTCATAGCTTACAGGGGGGATGTAAATGTCCTTAAAGTTGAAGAGGAATAGGCCCATGGTTTGCTGTTTACACTATCTCATACTGGTTATTTGTTATGGCGCGAGAGAGACAGTAGGCTAGAAAGATTCCAATCAGCTGGAAGCAAGCAACTCCAAAAGAAATCCCAGCAACCACTCCCATTTCTGACTCTATAATGGTCATCACCTTTATAAAACAATCTTCATTGTTTACTTTATCTGCATCTCTCTGTGGAGAACAATTTTCAAGTTTGCAGCAACTCTTGGGAAATCCTTTTTCTGAGTAATAATTAGTATCCTTCCAATCTCTATAGTCGGTGACACCACAACAGTGCAACTTATTTTGAATCTTGTCTACTGCATTGCTTCTATAATCTCCCGTAGAGTTATACTGCTTTAAAATTTTCTCATAATTATTCTTAAAACTGTTCTTAATCTCATGTCTGAAAACAAATCCTACGATGGCAGCGACCAGTTCAACCAAAAAAATGAGAGTCAGAAACATTGCATACAGTTTTAACATCCATGCAGAAGCTCGGCAGGTAGCAAAACAGCCAAAGGTGCCCAACAGAATAATGACGGTACCGGTACCAATGAGCACGAAGGGGACATTGGTGGCCTTCTCATTCAAAAGGGAAAAATAATTCTCCAGGCTCACCTTGCCCCAAATACCAACGGCAAGAAGGATAACACCAGTGATCCAGAAGATGAAAGTGTAGATCAAGAGGACGCTCTTGAAGCAAGTAATGACTGGTTTGGTCTGTAGTCTCCGAGACGGGGACGCCATGACTAGCCCCAGACCCTGCCCCGCCGCACCGTGGCTTTTAACTTCTACAATGGTAATGGTTAATTAAGAGTGTCTTTGAGCCTTACATGGTCCTTCAAATATATGCCATATATATGTTGTCTCAACAGGCTGATGCAGTGCTTTGATTATTAGAAACTAGAACAGAGACAGATGAAATCAATAAATAGCAAGAATGCACTTGGTACATGGTTTATAGATATAATTGTTAGAATATTCTTTCTATTCTGCTTAAAAATTGGCAGGGATAGTGTTTTTTGTCATTTCTCTTTCTCTTTCACACACACACAAACACACGCAGATATATCTATATCTATCTATGTCAATCTATCTACATCTCTCTCTCTCTATATATATATAGAGAGAGATATCTATATATACATCTGAATTCAAATCAAATATCTTTTTTGGTCGTATTTAACAGACAGTGATTGCTTTTAAAATTTGTAAACATGCATTAAATAGGGTATCACCATAAAACCCTTATTTTGAGTTCATGTCTTTATTATAAAAATAATATGGACCTGTGTTTAACTGGAAAAAAGTCAACCTGAATAAAAATGACTGATAATGTGTTATTTCTTTTTGAAACTGAATAAGAAGAGAGTAACAATTTTTGTTCAATGACACTTAGGACTTAAATCTCTAAAGTCTATTCTAATTCACTATGTGGTAAAAATATGCAGTTAATTAAGATTTTCTCCACAATAAATGAGACAACTTTGTTTATGTGAACTGAACATTTTTATTTTTATGAAGAAGGAAATTAACTAAAAAAAATTAAATAATAAAACCACAAAAAACATATGTTAATATCTACAACTGAACTAGTGATGTTTTTCTTAGATGCAAGAAGGACACACTGACCCTCCTTTTTCCTCCTGAAAGCAGGAACTAAATTTCCCGAGTGAAAAGTTCCCTCCCCCGTACCAGAAAGGAGAGAGACATCTTTTTTTTTTAAAAAGATTTTATTTATTTGACACAGAGAGAGATAGCGAGAGCAGGAACACAAGCAGGGGGAGTGGGAGAGGGAGAAGCAGGCTTCCTGCCAAGCAGGGAGCCCGATGTGGGACTCGATCCCAGGACCCTGGGATCATGACCTGAGCCGAAGGCAGACGCTTAACGACTGAGCCACCCAGGCACCCGAGAGAGACATCTTTATCGCCAGAGAAATTCAGATTCGAAAAGGATATATAAATAACCCTTGTTACTTCTTTAGTAGTTTACTTCCTAAAGCCCAAACTTCTTTGTATTGTTTCTTTGTATAGAATGCATAAAAGCTGCCTGCTTTGGTCACTGAGTCTCATATTTCTATGAGTACCCGAGCATACGAAATTAATTTTGTTTTCTCCTGTTAATCTGTTTTATGCTAATTTAATTATTAGAACAGCCAGAGAACCTGAAAGGGAAGAAAGGGAAAGTTTCCCTTCCCTATAATATACAATCTTTATATCATAAATAGCTTGAAATGAGTGAAAGTGTGCATATATAATTCCTCTTATGCTGTGTTTCTTTATGGAAATCCTTAGAAATGGACTTACGGGAGAAAAGAGACCATTTTGGGGAGTTACTTTCAAATGCTAGGAGTTTTCATAAATTATTTCTTTCATTACTGTAAAATATCACATATTTACTACGTTATCTCCTATATTCCAACTGGTTATTAACAATCTCCTCATACAGATACAGACATTGGCATCTGAAGTCTCACAGATACTAGGGTTTTCCGGCTGCAAACCTCTTGCTCTCAATAGATTCCTGATGACAGCATCATGAAATAAATCCCTCTTAGGAAATAATTCTCTCAGTTAATCTCAAGGAAGACTAATGGGCGCCTGGGTGGCTCAGTTGGCTCAGGTCATGATCCCAGAGTCCCGGGATGGAGTCCCACATCGGGCTCCTGGCTGGGTGGGGAGACTGCTTCTCCCTCTGACCCTCTCCCCGCCCTCTCATGCTGTTTCTCTCTCTCCCTCATTCTCTCTCAAACAAACAAATAAATAAAATCTTAAAATAATTCTTAGGGCGCCTGGGTGGCTCAGTTGGTTAAGTGTCTGCCTTCAGCTCAGGTCATGATCCTGGAGTCCTGGGATCAAGTCCCGCATCGGGCTCCCTGCTCGGCAGGGAGTCTGCTTCTCCTTCTGACCCTCCCCCCTCTTGTGCTCTCTTTCTCTCTCATTCTCTCTCTCAAAGAAATAAAATCTTAATCTCATGGAAGACTAACGTGTGTTTACCTTAAATTCTCGTTTGAAAAGTAACAAAACCAGTGATGACAGATTTTCAGGGTCTAAACCACTGAGAGTTCCTCTAAGTGTGCTCTGTGATGCAGCGGGATTTCAGCCTGCGCAGTTCATGACCGAGGGAAGCATAGAAGGAGGGTCACCAGATGGGGACATGCTCTGTGCTATATATTACAACTGACCACTAGAACATCACTGACATTGGTATGAAGAGAATGTAATGTGGAGGGGGCTGCATTGCATAATTCCGGAGAGTAAATCGAAAATAAGAGAAGTGGTGGCCATGAGGCTGTGCACCATGGCAGCCCCAGGGGATGCTCTCTGGACTGGTCATATCCTGAGTGACATATTACAATATGCTAATCAGGACAACACACCTGACACCACAGATTGATACTGTTGATAGATATTTCCAGATAATGTGTAATAATTATGCACACCCACTATATTTTCTGAGTCTTAATGTAGTTAATTTAATTGCTACTAAACCAGTAAATGCATAAGCTAAGGAGGGAAGAAAGTAAGCTGTATTAGGCATATACGAGTTTCTGTTCTTGAGTCCTCCGGGTACTCTCCTATTTATTCAGAAACTTCACCTGAGAGTTAGCAGGGGCACAGGATTTCTTCTTGTTTGATTTCTTTTTTTTTTCTCTCTCTCTTTTATTAGTATGTTGTTTTTGTCCGTTACTTTCTATAAAGCTAGAACAATCCTCAACAAAATTAGTACACTTTTAAATTTGGAAAGTGTGATGGTCCCAATACTAAGATACCAAAAGTATTGCTGTGGGAGATATTGTGTGGATGCAAGGCGAAACCATGTAACCAATTGCTACTAATTGCCCAAGAGTTAAACTCAAGAAACTGATGCATTTGTGTTACCCAAGACATTTTCTACCATTGTTTACTTCTTTGGTACATATTTGGAGGATGTGGAATTGTCCTTGGTCCTTTCTTCTGATTCCTTTCAAATTAATTGTTCCCTCAGGCACTCCTCTGCCTAGAGGGATGTGAAAATCCCTCAGGTTCCATTTTTGTTCAACCAGGACCTAACTTTAGCCTCTCAAACAGGGCTTCTCCTTAAGATCATGTAAACTAACTTCCCTTCAGAATACTCCTTCCCATGATTTACACCTGAGCTTATGTGACTACACGTTAGATAACTTAATTCCCGATGGATCTCAGTTTTCATTAAGAATAGAGTTATAAATAATTGAAAAAAAGAATGTTTTTAGGAGAAATTCTATACATGAGCTACAAGCAACTGAGAAAAGATTATCTCTAACTACGGGTTTCTGGACAACCCTGGTGATACTAAAGCAATACTCTGTAGGCAAGCAACCACCCAGGAGATCACACTTTTCAGAATATAGTTATCTGTCCCTGAAACATTGAGTAGCATGACAAAGGGTTCCTGGCATGATCTGGTGCCAAAATACGCTAACTTTCCCTGCTGCTGGAGGAAAGACTAGAAGTGCCCGTAGGTGGATAGAGGCATCGTTCTCTAAGCAAGTCAGAATTTTTAATAACATGAAGAATGTGCACAGAGGTATTCTATGACATATGTGCATTACATCAATTTTATGGATATATTATGAACATCACTTCCTGTGTGCAAGGAATACAAGATTTAAGAAAAACCCTGTGGTTGCTTACAATCTGATAGAAAATATATTTTGTTTTTGGAAAATATATTTATAGAGTATCATATATATGATATATATAGATAGATAGGTATAGATATAGATATTTCTAGAAAATTTTTATTTGAGAAAGCATACTGCAAATATTTTCAGAAACAAAGATTCCCTTCACTCAGAACCAGGCCAAAAAAAGAACACTACTAGCATCTTCAAAAATCATCCCTAGAACCACCACAAAGTGATGTGTAGTGTGATAGGTTAATTTGTAAGTTGTTGTTTTTTTTTTAATTTCATAAGTTGGTGGTTACTTTATTTCTTAATGTTTCCAATTTTTATATAAATTCTAGTTAGTTAACATATAGTGCAATATTAGTTTCAGGAGTAGAATTAAGTGTTTCCTCACTTCCATATAACACCCAGTGCTCATCACAAGTGCTCTTCTTAATACCCATCACCCATTTAGCCCATCCCCACTCACCTCCCCTATAGCAGCCCTCAGTTTGTTCTCTGTAGTTAATAATCCCTTTTATAATTTGCCTCCCTCTCTTTTTTTTTTCTTTCTCCTATGTTCATCTGTTTTGTTTCTTAAATTCCACACATAAGTGAAACTATACGGTATTTGACTTTCTTTGACTGACTTGTTACACTTAACAAAACACTATCTAGCTCCATCCACATCGTTGCAAATGGCAAGATTTTATTCTTTTAGATGGCTGAGTAACATTCCATTGTATTTATGTATAATATTCCATCATGTTGGGATATATATATAACCTCACTATAGGTGGAATTTAAGAAACAAAACAAAAGAGCAAAGGAAAAAAGAGAGAGAAAGAGAGACAAACCAAGAAACGGACTTCTAACTATATATGGAGATATCTTAGTTGTTTTCAGTCTAATACTATGATAAATAACAATGATGAATGTTTTTGTACATGTCTTTGGGCAGACAGAGTCACTCATTTCACTTCAGTATAAATCTTGGAATAGAATTTTATGTCATAAGACATTTCTGTGTTCAGCATAGACAAGCATAGAGCTTTACAAAGTAAAATGCCAGTTCTTCTCCCTACTGTCCGTGTGTAAGAGCCATGGGTGCTCCAATCCTCATCAATACTCAGCATTTCAAT